TGGGGCTTTGTCATTAATATTCCAAACGATATGTGATTCGAAAGAAAAGCGACGACACTTGCGTTAATCCGAAAATAAGACGTCATATTCACGAAGGTATATGTCAAGTTTTTAATTCTCAACTTGGAAGCTTTTAATTTTCGGTATAATATATCATTTATAGACCTTCCGCTCGGGGGATTCGGCAAAATATTACCCTCAGTGATGATATTTCCCTCGGGGCAAAGCCCCTCGGGAAATATCATCACTTCGGGTAATATTTCGCCGAATCCCCCTCGCTCCAGGTCTATAAATGATAATTGTCCAACCTAGGTTTCAAACCAGATATTGACTTGTTTGCATCCAGATTAAATAAACAATTTGCAAAATATTGCTCCTATAAATCTGACCCAGGTGTATTGTACATCAATGCATTTTCCATATCATGGAACAGGACAAACATTTATTGTTTTCCTCCTTTCAGCTGCATTTTACAGCATTTTACAATTTGTCCCCAATTGGGCAACACAACCTTAGTTTCCCCTCCTAGAACAAGTCTTTGTCAAACAACCCATTCCTCTACCACCATCCAAATGAACACTCGTCCTCCCTGCCCGACCAACAGAAATCCACCCACTTCATCAGAAACTGGAACTAAAAATATGTCTTGTGTCCGGACACAGGTGGATTCCTTAGGTCTATCCTCATCTGCAGTAAATATAATTATGGCCTCATGGACGAAGGGTACCAAAGTTCAATATCAGACATGCCGTACTAAGTGGATAAAATGGTGTACAGACAAGGGTTGCAACCCACTTACTGCCTCAATATCAGCTGCAATAGATTTCCTTGCCAATTTATATGATTTGGGTTATTCGTATAGTTCTATTAACACTGCTAGAAGTGCCTTGTCCTCTTTATTACAAACTGAACCCCCCATTTGGGCAACAATCATTAGTAAAACGGTTCATGAAGGGTATCTTTGAGCTAAAACCAAGTTCACCATGTTATTCAGACATATGAAATATCAATCCGGTATTCAATTTTATTCGTAAGAAACCAGATTTAGATAATATGACCCTAAAGGAACTTACTGATCAACTTACGTTTTTATTGTTAATACTAAATGGACAAAGATGTCAAACTATTCACATGTTATCTATTGAAAACATGAAACTTTGTGGAACACAATGTAAATTTTATATTTATAACCTTGTTAAACAGAGCAGACCTGGTACACATTTTGAGCCAATTATATTCAATAGTTACTCTGCAGAAGGAAAGCTTTGTGTGGTTAAACACCTGAATGAATATTTAAAACGAACAGCTCAGCTCTGTCCAGTGGTGCAAGCAATTTCTGAACAGTGCTGGTGTAGATACTGACAAGTTCAAACCACATAATCAAATGAACATACGTTTCAAACATTTTACCATAAACAGTTAGAGTGTTTGATTTAACACAACTTTATTATGTTCGATCTTGAAATGCGAGAAATACAATGAGAAATACAAGAATTACGAACATAGAGAAACCTGTATTTAATTTTGGATCAGCTCTGCTGGAATCTGCAAACTAGTAATTTGAGACATGTATCCTATACTGTAGTTATATTAATTGATGAATGTTCTTACCGGGTGTGTCTCGTGTAGGCTGGATTGATATCACAAATATCGAATACCGATATACCGCCATCAGAATACCGGTAAATACCGGTATTCCTGTATTTTTAATGTGTTTTTTTTTAAGCCAAACTGAAGTGCTGACCGTCAAGAAAAATCAAGTTTTGACAAAATATTAGTGTGGCACATACTGTTATTAGTGCAAATGTCACAAGATTCGCATTATCAAGCTATATGTTAACAATTAACAGCGCTAAGCGGCAATTATTAGTAGGCTGTCGATTGGGCGTCGAAGTGTTGAATCATTCAGAAAAATATTCGTTTTGTTACTTTTGTATAGAAATTCAGATAATGTTTCAGTAAGCTGCTAATAGTTATAAACATAAAAAACGTTGCATTTTTAAAGCTAACACATAAACAAGTTAGCAAGCATGTAAAAAAACTTGAAAAGCCAGAAAAGGTTTTCGCTGCTTCGCAAATGCTAGTACTTCCACCTTCCAAAATCAAAGTTTTCTTTTTTGTCGAAATTTTCCTTTAAAAATTTCGCCATTTTTATATTTCCGATTAAGGCGATTTAATAAACAAGACGTCTGGTATTGCTAAACCAAAGCCGCTAGAACTGTCAGAACAAAATCATGCATCTGTGAGTATTAACTTTGCTTTCTAAACGTGATTGTAAGCAAGTTTGACTTGAAATAGCGTTTCATATCGGTATTAGGCAGCAAAATACCGAAATGTCGGTATATCGGTATTTTTAAATTGTCAATATCGCCAAACCGGTATCTAAACAAATATCGGTATATCGGATATATCCGGTATATCGATCCAGCCTAGTCTTGTGCAACTATTTTCTTGTGAGAACAAGTGCATGGCTTAAGTAGAGAAAAAGTTAGGGGCTTAGGGTCAGAAAACCTGTTAATATTACTAAAAATGACTAAAACAACTGTACCATAGGAACTAAGCAGAAGAGCCTCTCTATTTCATGAAACACTGCACCCAATTACACCAAGCTTTGGGAAAACTAAAAGCAGACTTGTCTCTTGGGGGTGTAATAAGGTCAATTCAACCGACTGGTTCAAAAAAAAATTCAAAAATTTTCCGCACATAACAAATTTTCAACATTTTTTTACATTTTTCCAAAATTTTTACATTTTTCCTCAAAATTTTCCAAAAATTCCCACCATGTTCTTATCCTTTGCGCCAAAAATATTTAACCCAAATAGCAGTTCTACCGACTGAATAGCAGTCCTACCGACTGAATAGCAGTCCTGCCGACTCAATACAATTACTGGGGGGTGTCACCCCCCCCCCCCGTAGCTCCGGGCCTGACTGCTTATTATGAAAGTAAGGTATCTGTCAAATTATTTACACATGGTATCCTGGAGTAAACTTAGTTTTTACTTCTGATAAACACCATAAACCCACCTTAACTGAGGAAGACATGGCGATATGCACATGGAATTGAATCAGCAGACACAGTGCATCCCTGCAACTATTTTGCTGTGAGAGTAATTATATAGCTTAAGCAGAATAAAAGTTAGGATCATAAAACCTGTTAATATGACTAAAACAACTGTACCATAGGAACAAACACTTACTGTCAAGTGTTTACCCTCATGAAATAAAGGAAAAGAACCCACTCTATTTCATGAAAAGTAGCACACCCAATTACACTAAACTTTGGGAAAACTAAAACTAGACATGTCTCATAGTACTTATAATTAAAGAAAAGGTATCTGTCAGATTATTTGGCCATTAACTCTTGTTTACACATGGTATCCTATAGTAAAAACTTAGTTTTTACTCTGATAAACAACATAAAGCCAACTAATTAACTGTGGAAGACATGGCGATGTGTGCATGAAACTGCATCAGCAGTCTCAGTAGACTTGTACATCTATTTTGTTATGAGAATAAGTGCATAGCTAAAAGTTAGGGTCATAAAACCTGTTAATATGACTAAAAATGACTAGAACAACTGTACCATTGGAATTAAGCAGACAAACTCCATGTATTTTGTTAAATGCTGCACCCAATTACACTAAACTTTTGGAAAACTAAAACCAGACATGTCTTATAGTACCTATATAATTAAAGTAAGGTATCTGTCAAGATTATTTGGCCATTAACACCTGTTTACACATGGTATCCTATAGGCCATATAAAATAAATTCCTTGATTCTCATCGCTAAATTTTAAAAACTCCCAGGAGGCGGGAGGTTTATATTTTATATTTTATGTCAAAATATAAAAAAAAAGTTTAAAATTTAAAAAACTGGAGAGGGAGGTCTTTTTATATCTGCCCTTAAATATATTATAGAAGTGGATAATTGCATATGCGCTAATGAACATGCATCCAAATCCACACAAATCGTTGTAATAAGGCTATAAGCCCATTTTCCCCTTCAGTATTCCAAGCATCCCTTAACATGTTGCAATATTAACGATAAAACAATTTTATATCGCAAAAATTCCAATACAAAATATAAAAATAACTAAATCTCTGAAGATGCTCGGTCGGGCGGTAAATTTATATTTTATAACAAAATACAAAAATATATCAACACGGAAACCAAAATATCGTCGGGCGGTGATGAGAATCAAGGAATTTATTTTATATGGCCATAGTAAAAACTTATTTTTTACTCTGATAAACAACATAAAGCCAACTTAATTAACTGAGGAAGACATTGGTATACGTACATGGAATTAAATCACCAGACACAGTGCACTTGTGCCACTATTTTCCTGTGAGAGCAAGAACATAGCTTAAGCAGAATAAATGTTAGGGTAAAGAAAACCTGTTAATAAGACTAAAACAAGTGTGCCATGGATACTAAGCAGAAGAACCCCCTCTCTTTCATGGAATACTGCACCCAATTACACTAAACTTTGGGAAAACTAAAAGCAGACATGTTAGAGTTTGGCACCCATTTAAACAAGCTACCTTACAGTATAAAACTCTATGAAACTCTATGTATGAAACTCTAGCAACAGAGAAAGTGAACATAGACAAGTAATTTGCAATTCAATTACATTCAGAAAACCTGTTAATATCTCATAAAAATTTTAAGATCGCTAAACAATAAGACATCACCCTAAAACACCCTGTAATTCACGGCGCTTTTGATATCAACCTATCCTGCTACCATGTTTCTAGCTTCTGCTCTAAGGAGTGGCCATCACATCTGAAAACATTCATGTCCAGAATGATCAATGATCAGATTGGCTTGATCAGATTGGCTTGGACCTTTTAGGGGGACAGATGTTTCGATTGTTGCGAGGAGCCTACACACGTAAAAACACACAAGTTGTAACAAGTCTGCAAAACAAGTTGTTACACGTCTGTTCACAAGCTGTCAACAAGTTGTGATCGCACTGCTTGTTCCCAGTTGTTGTAACACATGTTTAAAACAAGCTGTTAACAACTTGTAACAAGCTTGATGGCATTATCAGCCCTGTAGTTACAAGATTGTGCTAACAAGTAATAACGAGTTTGTTACAACCATGATGTGACAAGGATGTTACAAGGTTGTCAACACAAGGTTGTAACAATCTTGTTATATCAAGCATGTGAACAACATTGCAACAAGTCTGATAATTTCGACAAGGTTGTCACAGTTGTCAACAAGTTGTTCCAAACCTGTTGACAACTTGTGACAAGCAGTGCGAATACATCTTGTTAACAGCTTGTGAACAGACTTGTAACAAACCTGTGCATTTTTACATGTGTACATGACGTGTGGCAGTTCAGAAAATGCCTGAATGAGGTGTCTCTCCTCTGCACCCACTTATGAGAAGTCCACTCAAGCCCCCAATTACCGTATCATTACTCGAGAGTTAGTTAATTAACTTTTAACAACATTCTAGTATACACGCCGCCACGTTATGTAGGCCCCTCGCAACAATCAAAACATTTGTCTCCCTGTAGGTCCAAGCCAATCTGGTCATTTTGAATGTTTTCACGGGGCACTAGCCTTAGAGCAGAGGCGCCGACAAGAAGTCAGACTGCAATAATTTCACAACTAAATTATACGAGAATACTAAAAAAGTGGTGTAATTTTAACTTTGCATTATCAACCTGCAAAGTTCCTGGCAACCTGCAAAGTTCCTGGCAACCTGCAAAATTCCAACCTGCAAAATTCGCAACCTGCAAAATTTGCAACCTGCAACCTGCATTTTGTACCTGCCGCAGTATAAATACTATCAATTTAGTTATTTATTGTGAAAAACAGCACAGAGCTCCCTTAACTTTGCAACACATGGTAGTAGACATGTCGTTAAACTCCAGCAACAGAGAGAGTGAACATAGACTAGTAGTTGGCTGTATATTGCAATTTTGTAGCTTACTTAGAACTGAAATTACATTCAGTAAACCTGCTAAAATCCCATAAAAAGTCTAAGATGACTAAAGAATAAGACGTCACCTTAAAACACCCTGTAATTCATGAACCACTAACCCCAGTTTCACCAAACTTTGGATTAACATTTAAGGCATACATGCTGAAAGGTGTTTCATGTTAAGTCGCACCAAATGTGCATTTATGAATGCTAATTTCAAACTTTTTTGACTGATGCTCTAAAGTACTAGAGAGATGTTGCCCATGTAACAGAATTTCTTAATCGGTGACTGTAGCTCGCCTTGATTGATAATAGGTATTAATTAATATCGATCATATAATAATAATATATATAATAAAAGAATAAGTATTGTTGAAACATGAGCAGCCAATCTTTATCTAATAATTAATCCTATGTACTAGATGGAATTAGTCACATATGCAAGATCGTTTTTCAGTAAACAGACTCGCGTCCAACCTCATTCCCAGGCTCTTGGCTCACTCCCACAGCAGGTATTTAGTTTATTACATCACGAGCTCACACAGGCACCACGCTGTTGATTATAATATATGGAGGCCATTTCTTTTGTTTGGAAAACTTTCCCAAATTGTGTTGTGGTTTAGCTTGTTGTTTCGCCTCGTCATTCAGCGATATCAACATATAAATGCAAGTACAAACTTTGTGTGGATGTTTTAATAGTGTTATAAATTCCAAGTTTGGACAGTGAGGGAAGTTCATTTCAGCTGCTGTAATATGGAACAGGCAATGGCATCAACGCTTTTGATGTAAGTATAAGAATTTGGTACATTTATGTGGATCCAGTTTAGTGTAAAGGGTATCTACTGTAGCCACATGCAATGTTATCTGGCAGGAAGGTTGAAATCTGCCAATGAATCAACAATACTGTATTAAGTCTAGTGTGCATGTAAAATTGTTTTCTATGTATGTATGTATGGATGAATTTATTTATTGCGTTTTTGACACCAATGTTAATGTACACATGAGTTTTACATATTTTATTTTGGTTATACTGATACATAAGTATACAAAGAACTACTGTTGGAAACAATTATAGACTAACAAATTAGCATCGAAATTACAATACCATAAACCTCCGACTATAAGTATAGTGTTTCTGTTTGAGTTATTTTGTATTATATTATGACCATAGTTGATATTAAGGGACCGATATGGATTTAGAGGATATAGGGGACAAAAGAGGGTAGAGAAAGAAACCTCGTGTATAGAATAGATTTTGGTGTGTGTATTTTAGACTAAATAGGAAAATAGAATATTATAACTGGCGACGAGGTAACGGAGTTATTAAACGCGTGTTAAAATGGCGAAAGTACTCAATCTACCAAAACTACAACCTTTTACCTTGGGGGAAACTTCGACCATTAGCCAACAGTGGCGAAAATGGATCAAGTCATTCGAATATTATATTGCTGCCTCGGGAATCAATGACAAGAAACAACAACGTGCCATCCTTCTCCACCTCGCAGGACCTGAAGTTCAAGACATTTTTGAAACCCTAGAAGACACTGGCAACGATCTCGACACCGCAATAGCAAAGTTAACGTCCTACTTCGAGCCACAAAAGAACATTCCTTTCGAGCGTCACAATTTTCGACAGACAACACAACTACAAGGAGAAACAATCGAACAGTTAGCTATCCGTTTAAAACACCAAGTAAAATTCTGCAAATATGGCAACCCCAACGATATGATCCGTGACCAGATTATCGAACATTGTTCGTCTAGTCGTTTGAGGCGACGATTACTTTGCGAACCAGAACTTACTCTTGAGAAAACAGTCGAAATCGGTCGTTCGTTCGAAGCATCCGAACGGCAAGCCTCGCAAATAGAAGCAGACAGCTTAAAAACCACCGACCTGGGCGTAAATGCAATCCGTTCTAAAGCTGCATCATCTCGTTATCCAACATCGATACAAACAGGTCGTTCGAACATCGTTTGTTATTGTTGTGGAAATGCCGGTCACCGAGCTAAAGACCCTCGTTGTCCTGCTGAAGGAATGTCCTGCAATAAGTGTCACAAGCTTGGCCATTTCGCTAGAGTATGTCGTCAACTGAAACCGACAAACAAGCCTGAATTTCAGAATCCTACATCGAAAAACAAGAATGAAATCTACAAGCAAAATACCGGAAGTCATGGCGAAATACGGTATGTATACGGCGCTCCACATCCGGCCACTGGGGAAAGTTCATCGGACGATGAGGTATGTTTTCGAACTTGGTGCCACCGGGAAAATGCCCCATGCAACCGTCCAAATTGGGAACTTCCCAGTTGATCTCATCGTTGATTCAGGCACAACTGTTAATGTACTTGACAATGAAACATTTGCAAAAATTAAGGCAAACAGCCCGATCACACTGTCCAAAACAAATCTCAAATTATTTCCATATGGATCATCAACACCACTGAGTATTCAAGGTTCGTTTACTGCACAGGTCTCCCATAAAGATTTAATTACGAATGCCATTTTCATCGTTGTTGCAAATCAAAATGCTGGTTCACTCTTGGGGCACAAAACTGCAACTGATCTTGGGTTATTTCAAGAACATGAGAACTTCCATCCAATTCAGAACATATGTAATGGAGACAACCTGTTCATGCAAACACTTGTTACCAAGTACCCGCAAGTTTTCAACGGCATCGGAAAACTCAAAGATTTGCAACTGCACCTACATTTTGATGAGTCGGTACCTCCAGTTGCCCAAGCACCACGTAGAATTCCTTTCCACATTCGCAAGGCCGTCCAGACAAAACTCGATGAACTCGAAACACTTGGCATCATCGAACCAGTGAAGGGGCCTAGCCCCTGGGTCTCACCTCTTGTGGCAGTACCAAAGCCTAATGGCGACATTCGTGTCTGCGTCGACATGCGTCAAGCAAATTCTGCAATAATC